CGGGTGCATCTTTTTAAAGACGACGTTGCGTGGCAAACTTGACGTTACGTCTTTGTAGAGACGATGTTGGTCTTGCTATAGACAACGTATCACCCGGGCGTTTCTGGATGTGGTCCTTACCTGGCGCTGGGTGATGGTCACGATCGCTGTCTCATGTGCCTGGGCATCTAGCACACTGAGGTGGCGTTTGTGGATGAGTCATGTTCTCATTGCGGGAAGATGTTCATCTCGGAGTCGCAGGCCAAGCTCCGTTTCCTCAAAGGGGCGGAGTTCCGTTGCCTCTGCCTCAATCTAGTTCTCGTCATGGCGGCAGTCAGGTGGGGGCTACTTCAGTGATGGAAACCCTCCAGGGAACCAACCCTCGGGGGACCATCGCTCCTCCTACTCACGATACAAATCGTTGCAAAGCAACTTTACAGCAAATTACGTTTCTACAATATTTAGTGGTAGGCCCGCCGGCCGCAGCGCCCCAGCCTGCTCGTCGCCGAGGGAGGCCCCCTGCATCCTCCCACGCTCCCATGCCGCATTCGCAGCAGCCTTGAGCAAGAGGCAGGTCGCCCCGCCCGTCCAGGCCCCCGTCAAACCTGGTGGTGAGCGGAAGAGCAAGAGGCCCTGGGACTGGCGACCCAGAGAGAGAGGGAACTGCTCTTTGGGGGATGGTGAATGCACCTCTCCCTCCCCCAGAGGAGGGCCGGGTGGATAATCTGGTTTCCAAAAATCTCGACAGGAGTGCGGTTTTCTCTGTCTCTGGGTCCTAAGAGGGCATGGAGAGTCACGGACGGAGCAATACCAGACCACACTCATCCTCCTCTCTCACCAGCAGGCAGCAGCAGGTGGTTGGAGAGGGTCATCAAAGGCCCTACTCACGCACCCTCTGCCAAACCGTGGAACCACCGGGTCTGCTCAACCATGCAGCCGACGAGCTGTCACGAGCGGCGCTCCCCGGAGAGTGGAGACTCCATCCCCAGATGGTAAAAAAAAATTCCACAGTGAGCCTTCTCGCACAGCCGCTGTGCAAGGTCAGGGAGGATGAGGAGCAGGTCCTGCTTGTGGCACCGTATTGGCCCAATCGTACCTGGTTCCCGAGTGCTCCTCATGACAGCCCCTCCCTGGCAGATTCCTCTGATTACGCCTTGAAGTGGAACCTGTTCGTCGAGTAGTGTTCTTCTCGCTGAGAAGACCCCCGGAGATGCCTGGCTCGTGGCGCCTCGCTGACAGATAATTGTAGAGCTGCGGGCTGTGCGACCCCCAACACGTTCACTAGATTCTATAGCCTTCGTGTGGAGCCGGTATCCTTCTGTGTTCTCACCGAAGCGAAAAGCTGGTATGCGTTGCACCGGCTGCCTTTTTATGCTCACGCTGTGATCAGCGGCAGCTGGATGCAATCGTTGCATGCCAATGTGAATTGGCTTGTTTAGTTTACACTCTAATTGGATTGGTTTCTCTAAGCGAGATCCCAATTTGTCGGGCACCGACGTGACATCTCCGTTCCCTCCTTCAGGGAACGAGGGTTACATACGTAACCGAGACGTTCTGCAGATGTTTGAGCTTTATGCATAATCAGGGAAATCAAGTATATCCACCCACCCATCCAAACCCCTTGGGATGAGTCTTGGAAATAGAAGTAAATGTATTTGAAAATGTAAATGGCCTCTCGGGACGTAAAGTGATGTGAGTCATTGATGTTCCCTTTGAAGTGTTCAATGTTCTGCTGAGAGGCCGGATCAAGCAGATTGTTTTCAAAGGATTTGTAATTGGTTGCATTAGTAACGTTAGAGGCAATTTGCAGTTTTTTTTCTTTATTGTTTAGACATGTTTTTTCTTAAACTTCAAGGTGCACATCTCTGCCTCTTTATTTCTACTTCTTTCATCAAAATAGAAGAGAATAGATTTTGGGATATTGTGAATAAGAGACTGTCAAAGCATTCATACAAACATTTTGTCCCATTACAATAGCAGCGGGCCGAAGACAGCCGTGTTTGCCTTTGGTGTCAGGGTTCTGTCACTTCGGTCTAGTGTTATTCATGATTTTGTGACAGAGCCCTGACACTCCCATCATGTCGTTGTTTTGATGTGAGCGCGAGACTTCGAGAGTGTCCTGTTTCCTTGTTTCATGTTGAACCGGCCGAACACAAACCGCGTGCTTTTCTTGTTGTCTTGTGTTGTTGTTGCACTCAGCTCGTGTTATCAGCTGCATGCTTTCATGTCCTGTTTTGTCTTGTGCTGTGTAGCAGCCCTCATGTCAATTGTCTTGACCCCACCCATCTTGTTACCTGATTATTGGTTAATTTGCCCCACTTGTGTTTCCCTCGTTACCCTCCTCATTTGCTCCCTATTTATTCTCCTTGTGTTTGCAGTCCCATGCAATTTCGTCATCGTACATCGCATGTATGCTGTTGTGTCCTGTCAGCCTTGTCCTGATCCTGCCTTGCTTTGCCGTGCCAGCCTGTTTTTCCCCCACAGGGTAGTTTTTGTTGTTGTTTTTGTTTTATTTTATTAATAAAAGCCCATCTCCTGCATCAGTGAGTCCTCGCCTCATCCCTTTATCCCCTACCCTGACATTTGGTCGATTTAAATGGCTCTAAATAAGAGGGTATTGTTGTTGCCTTGGCAACATGCTAGACAATTTTATGTAATTTAAAGAAGGCTTGCTTCAGAAAAAAATAACCATTTTCACCTCTGTGTTCTCTGACTGAAGACAATCATTTAGCATTGATCATAACCACAGCATCAACCCTTAGTTAGTTTTATAGGGCTCTGTTGCTATAAAAACTGTGCATTAGATTTTATAATGCAATGTAATGCATTTCAAACATGCTTCCCTGCACTATTTAAAATCTCTATGTACATTACAAACAGCTGCAACCTTTGTAAACTCCACTCTGTAAATTTCAGCATTTCCATGAGGAACCTATTATTTGACCTGTTTGGTCTGCTTGATGAAAGGGGAAAATAGATCTATCTATCTATCTATCTATCTATCTATATATCTACCTACCTACCTACCTACCAGAAACAGCTTGTATTACCATATATCGTTATTCTTTGTTTGCATAAAAATGCCTATTTCTTTCTTTCTTTCTTTCTTTCTTTCTTTCTTTCTTTCTCTCTATTTCTTTTTTTTCAGGTTGCTCTCTGTGTGTTTGCATAAATGTTTTTAATTAATGTATTTATTAATTTTTTTATTCATGTGTTCGTTTTTATTATTATTATTATTTTACCAGAAACAGGTTGTATTTCTATATATATATATATATATATATATATATAATTATTAGCATTAGCATTATTTATTTATTTATTTTCTTCTTACTCTAGTTACAAAAGTGATTTAGTCAAGTTATTTCTTTTATTTCTTTATTTTAACCAGAAATAGAAATATTATATATAACAGAGTGCTCTCTATATGTTTAATTTTTTTTATTATTATAATTTTTTTTTTTAATGACTTCATGTGTTCAATTGTTTGCAGTTGTGTAATGGAGGGTCTGTCACAGATCTGGCTAAAGGTATGTTGAAAAGAGGAGACCGCATGGAGGAACCCATCATTGCCTACATCCTACATGAAGCACTCATGGTAAAATCCAAAACAAGCCCCGATCCTCTATATTTTAAAATATTTACACAAATGTATCTTTTCAGTGAGCTTGAGTCAGTAACATGTGCTCTTGTCTCTGAAGGGTCTCCAGCATTTACACATCAATAAGACCATCCATCGAGATGTCAAGGGCAACAACATCCTGCTCACCACAGGAGGAGGAATCAAGATGGTTGACTTCGGTGAGGAAGTTGTTATTTTATTGGGAAGGGACTGCTGGCTGTGAAAGAGAAAGCCTAAATGAATGAGTGTGTGTGCTTGTGTGTGAGTGAGAGCCCGGATAGCTTGAAAACAGTGTTTTATACATGGGTCAAAGCCATTAAATGTGAGCATTTCAGTGCTAATTGAATAGCACTTATATCTTCTCATCAAGAGCAGTGCATTTACATGTACGGTGATGATGGATGTCTAACACGCTTGCATTAAAGCCCCTGTCTGTCGTCGTGTCATTGGGACAGAGGATATTGTCTGCTTTCAGTTACTAATCATTTGCTTCTAGCTTTTCTTAACCAAATTAAGCTCTCTTAAATAGAGTGTGTTAAAACAGAGCTGCATGATGAGATGCAGTCATACAGGACTTAATGATTCCAGTTCACCTTCATGGTTCTGCTTCCTTAACAGTTGCATGAACAATTATTTTACTAATTTAAGACGAATGGACAGTGTTTGTATTCACCACTCTGAGCTGCCTGTTGTCAAATGCTGAAATCATTTCAGATTTCAACAGAAGGCTGAATGGTATGAAGGTATATATATATATATATATATATATATATATATATATATACTGTGTGAAGATAGAAATGTATAAA